TTTTTGTTTAGAAATCACGACAAGCATGTTCAATATATAATCGTCTTTTATCAGAAGCTATTCGTACATTAATATCTTCAAATACATCTGCTGCATCTAATGTTTTAACTAGTGCACGTACATTTGCTTCTCGTCTTTCATTAATACAAAATGAAATTGATCGTTTAACAAATACTTTATATATTCTACTTGATATTTATACTTACATAGAATTTTTTAAATCTCAACAATTTGAACGTGCATATGAAATTATACAAAAATTATCATTATTACCATTTGCACATACACAAATAGATCAATGTCTTGAATCAATAAATTATTATTCATCAGAAATAATTGATTCTTATCCAGATATAATACTTATGACATTAACATTAATGGCAATATTAGCAAGTGTAGAATATAAATCAACATTAAATATATCAAATCAACATTTATTACTTTCTTCAACTAGTTCATTTGATCAACGAACATCAAATATACTTAGTACAAATAAACAAGGTCTATTAGATGAATTAAAACGACAAGCTGACGTTCTTTTTCGTTATCTTGGTTTATTACCAATAAAACTTCATAATCATGTACATGTACAACTTATGGAATGTTTTAGTCGAATTAAAAATGCTTGTTAGAAAAAAAAAGAAAGAAAATAAACCTTTTTTTTGTTATTAGATAAAAAGAAATTATGATATACATTTATTTTAGATTGAAAAAAAAACAAGAAGAAATTAAGTTTTAATGATAGATTTGAATAATAATAAAGTCCTCAGGGATTATAGTATTAGTCGTCTTTTATCTTCAGTTTAATATTTGATACAAAAAGTTATTAGAAAAACAATATATATATATATATATATGTATATATTGTTTTTTAACATTTCAGATGATTCAAGATGAAACTGTTTCAATGCCTAATAGGCGTACAACTACTATTGATAATGCTGAACGTGTACATAATGAACTTTTAAGTCAAACAGCTGCAGTAAGACAAGCTTTTGAACAACAAGTAAATACAAGTGCAAATATTCCTACACGTCGAGAACGTATGTATTCATATGACTAGAACAAAATTTTATTATTATTATTATTTTTTCTTATCATTTAGCTGAAACACTCAGATTAGAAGACCAACCACTTGCTGAAGATCAACAAGCACTTCTGGCCGAATTTGAACGACGTCGAAGAGTAAGAAAAAGCAAAATAGAAGTTTTAGAAAAAAAAAAATGAATTGAATTATTATTTCTTAGGCTCGACAAATTCATGTTTCAACTGATGATGTTGAAGTAAAAGCAAATCTACGTCAATTACGCGAACCTATATGTAAGAAATAATTTCTATAATTATTAAATTAGATAATATTTTTTCTTTTGTTTCTTTTTATTTTTTTGTCTTTAGGTTTATTTGGTGAAGGTCCAGCAGAACGTCGTGAACGTCTTCGTAATTTAATTTCACGTTTATCCGATGATGAAATTGCTCAAAAATTACGTAAAAAAGAAGAAGATGATAAAAGAATTGAAGACAAAAAAGAAGTAAAAAATCAAAAATCAAATTATTTTATTTTCTTATTATTTATTTCTATGATTTTATTAAGGAAGTTACTTGGTATCATGAAGGATCCGATGAATTACAAATAGCACGTTATTGGATTGCTCAATATTCTTTACCAAGGTAAGACTAGACAATGTTTTCATGATTGCAACAATAGAGTAGAAATAAAGATTTTGTTTTTTTTTTCTTCTTTGATCTATTCTTTCTTTTAGAGCAAAAGAACGTATTCAAAAATTAAAAGAATATGTTGCCGTACCTGAAGTATATCGAACAGCTAAAATTCAAGATTTATATCGTCGATTACGTGTAAATTTTATATTTTTGTCTATTTTTTTTTTTTATTAATAGTTATTTTTATTTTCTAGGCTATATCACTACATTGTAGTCAAGTTGGTGATAATCGTCCTTTATCCTATTGTGAATTTAGTCCAAATGATCAAATGGTTGCTGTTTCTTCTTGGTATTAATAATTTATTCTCTATAGAGTACTAATCAAAAATATAAGGCCAACGTCTTTTTTTTTTTACGAAATCAAGTATTTAACTTCAAGGCAAATAGTGGTTTGAATATCTAATGAAGTTCTTTATCAAATGTATTGAATCTAGAAATTTCATAGTTGTGCTATGACAGAAAGGTTTTTGAAAAGCCAAACATGATAGTTTTTAGGTTTCAAAAGATTGTATGAAAATTAGTTTTTAAGAGTACCATCTTAAAGAGCACTAAATCCTGAATAAAATGAGGGGTTATCGTATTTCTTACGATTTTCTCTTAAAAAGTAATAAGTACCACAAAAAATGAAAAAACAAACGAAATTTATCATAGCTAAGGATACAACGGTGATGATGCACTATCCTCCGGTTAAAGTGGTCTTATGTACAGCTTTGTACTAGTCTAAACATGTACGTATAGACTAATGATGGGCGCATGATAAAACTATGGCAATTCTGGATTGATTTCGATTTTTTTGGTTGAGAAGGCGATTTCTAGAAAATAGTTGAATTACATAAATTGTCAGGGCCTACGAAATCGAATCTATATGAGATCTATCAAAATTCTCGTGTTCGATTTTCTCGTTCTAGAAAGGCTTAGTTATGTTTTGTAAAATTTAGCGAATTTGTTGAATTAAACATTCTCCGACCGAAAAAGTCGAAATGAATCTAAGACCACCGTAGTTTTAGTATGCATTCGCCGTCTTTAACACTATTCTATACGTGCATGTTTAGACCGGTACACCAGTGATCACTGTTACCATTGCATTCTTAATCATAATATTACTAAAAGTCAACTAATAAACACATTTTTTTGCTTGGTTTTACAGAAACCATTCTCTCATACTTCATCTATAAAATTTCGGTATGAAAAGCATTTGATAGATAACTTTATTGGGTATTCAAATCACTATTTGGATTTGCATTAAATACTTGGTATTGTAGGAAAAAAAAACAAAAATACGTTGGGCTTATATTTTTGACTAGTACTAATGAATGATCCATAAATAATGAGACAGTTTGATTTTTTGTTTTTGATGGACAGAAACATAGCTCGAAGACACAATTCTAAGCTTATTCGATAGAGAATTTTTTGCTCTGCAAAAAATGTAGACTTCGTTGTTTAAATCAGTTTTTCTTGCCGACAAAAAATTAAAAAGATTGCAGACTACTTCACTGCGATATCTAATGATTGGTGCAAGCTTATGCTCATCAAACCCGATGTTAAATATAAAGTATCTAGCATCATTCGATAGATAATTTTATGTTCTATACTCTCAAGATCTCAAGACTTCTAATGATGTTGTTCAAATGTAAAAAGAACTTAGAACTAACACATTTGATGATATGTTGCTTTCAAAAATTAGCGTGTTCTATGAACTGTTGCGTCGTTTTCTAATTTTTTCTTGAAAAATTGTTATTTAAACATATTTTTGAATAATTACTTTGTTTTCTGACAGTTGCTGTTCAATAATTGATTAGTTGTCAATCTTTTTGATTCTTCTGTAATATGAGAAACTTATTTGAAGAACAAAGCCGATTAAAAAAAAAATAGAAAATCAAAGTATCCCGCTCTTTATGTATCATCCGTTACATATATACTTTTTCTTCATTTTTTAAATAAAATCTTTTATAATAGGAGTGGTTTATGTAAAATTTGGACAGTACCAGATTGTAAACATGTACGAACATTACGTGGTCATATTGTAAATGCTTGTTGTATTAGTTGGCATCCTCAATCAACATTAACACAAGATTCAGGTATGATTAATTTAGCATCTAGTTCATTTGATGGAAGTGTTAAATTATGGAATCTTGAAAGTGATGAACCTATTGCTGAAATAGAAGGTAATTAGAAAATTTATTGCAAAACTGAGATAAAAAAAATATTATTTTCATTTAGGTCATGCACCATTTCGTGTATCAAAAGTAAAATTTCATCCATCGGGAAGATTTTTAGCAACAGCATGGTAAATAAAATTTTAATTTTTTTTTTTTTTCAATTGAATAATAATATTTATTTTTAGTTATGATCATTCATGGCGTTTATGGGATCTTGAAACTCATGAAGAAATTTTACATCAAGAAGGTCATTCAAAAGCAGTTCATGATATTACATTTCAATGTGATGGTAGTTTATCAGCTACTGCGTATGTAAACAGAAAAAAAAATCTATATAATTAAATATACTTAATTTAGAATATCAATTTTTCTTTAGTGGAATGGATGCATATGGTCGTGTATGGGATCTTCGAACTGGTCGTTGTATTATGTTTTTAGAAGGTCATCTTAAACCAATATTATCAATTGATTTTTCACCGAATGGGTTTGTTGAATAAAAGAAAATCTTTTTTGTCTTCTATTAATTTTTTTTTTTTTGTATTGATTAGATATCATATTGCAACAGGTTCAGAAGATAATTTATGTAAAATTTGGGATTTACGTCAGATTAAAAATGCTTATAGTATTGCAGCACATCAAAATTTAGTTTCAACGGTAAAATTTCAACGTATGTTTTAATTTTAAAAAAAAATCTTTTTTTCTTTTAAATTAAATATCTGCTACTTGTTTTTTTTTGTTTATTTGATAGGTACTGAAGGACATTATTTAGTAACTGTTTCGTATGATAATACAATTAAATTATGGATGCATCCAGTATGGTCAGCACTTTATTCTTCGACTGGACATGAACAAAAAATTATGTCAGCAGATTTATCACTTGATGGACGATGGATTGCAACTGCTTCTTATGATCGAACATTAAAAATTTGGTCACCTGAACAAATCAGTTAATCTTTTTTTTTTGTTTTTTGTTGTTCTTGTGGTTGTTTTTCTTGTTAGTGTTAAAAGAAACATTATATCAAGAAATTATTTCTCTTGTTATTCATGATAATAGATTGATGAATAAATTTAATAACAGATATAAGTATTCTGATGGATGAAATAGCTTTTGTAGATAAAATAATGTCTAGTCAATTTGCTAATTTACAAGAATATATTGCCAGTCTACCACCTAATGTAATACAGAATATTTATGGACATCCGGCAAGTTGTTTGGCAATATTTCGGTTTGTATATAATGAAATATTTTAAATTTTGATTTAATATTTTATTTATAATTATTCAATAGTGATTTACCAGTACTTGCAAGAACAATTATTATGAGATTTATTTGTTTACCAAATTCAGAAACAACTGGACAACCACAACCAATTAGTCAAGGTGTTGTGTCATCATGGATTAATCCATCTCATCAAAAGTAAGTTGACTAATAAAAATAAAAATATTATAGAATTTTATATCTCGTTTTTTTTTTATAGCACATATAAAATGATTAGTCGAATGCTTGTTAAATTAGGTATATGGAATGAAATAGGTACGGATTGGCAGCTCGATGCTACATTTAGAAATAATTTAACTGGTGCTATTTTTGGTGGGTAAGTTATATTTAATGATCAATATGCAAACTTCTCATCGCAGCTACTTTGAAGCAAAAAAAGTTGAAACTCACATCTATTCTCTAGCGTCATTATACTAATACAAAATACGTTAAGTGCAAAAATCTCTAGTAGACTACAATTGTTCGTCAGGGAAATGATCTGTCTTATTTATTTTTGCATTCGAACAGAATTTTTTTACTGCCATTCATCGTTTTTCAGTTTCTTATGCTGTTTTTCTTAGTTTAGTTTAAGTATTGATTATATTAATAATATGACGACTATAGCAAATCAATGCATCTTCCTGAACATCTTGAATATAAATTTTTATCTGCGTAAAAAATCCAAAACTGTACTAGTTAGTACGTTTACAAAAGTATTGGAGCCATTCAAATTTTGAGAAAGACTATCAAATGTTCTAGAACAGTCTAAGTCTTATTGATAATGCCGTTCAGTGCTTTTTTCTGCGGCTAAGAAGCTCTGGGAAAGAAGTCTGATGTCTTCGTTTGCTATGAAAACATACTCAGGGGCTGTTGGGTCTTGTCCCTTCCTGTTGTTATGAGGGGATGAGGAAAACCGCAAAGCATCGGCTTAAAACGTATACTCACTATGTATTTCTTCGAAAAACATGATGTGAGTTCCACAAAATGTAATTTTAAGACAAGATTCAATTAGTTTTAATGTAAGGAGCGAAAGTTTTTCATTGAACTTTGCGAATTGGAAATTTGATATTTGCAAATGTATTTAGCACAACTATTTGGCTTGATGAAACAGATTCAACAGCAGGTCCGAGTGAACGTAATATAAAAAAACTTGATGAACTCAATACATATTCTTCCACTCGATGGGATGTAATATTTATATCTAAAATCTTTGTACGTTCATTGGTTTTTTTTTTGTTTTTTATAGTGTGTCTTACAATATCTTGTTAATCCTGATAGAGGACAAATTACTCGTGATACAATTGATGTGTTTGTTCATGCTAAATTACTCAGACGGTTTTATTTTAAAATAATCAATTAAATATAAAAATAAGAAAACAAACTTTTTTTTTTAATCCTAATAGAAATGAAGATACTTCTTCATCTAGTACTGATCCTTATACAATAACAGGTTCTGGTTTTCAATTTTTACTAATGAATCGACGATCACAAGTATGGTTTTTTATTATAAATTCATTAGAAACACGTCAAGTATATTTTACATCTTTTGTTCTTTTTCAATAAAAATTTTTTTCTAATAATCGTTTTGTTTTTTTTTAGCAACGTGGTGAAGATATAAGTGAACATTTAATATTTTTATTTCAACTTAGTTTTGCAACATTTGGCAAAGTAAATTCATATTGATAGGAAATTATATCAATTTCATATTTAACTTATATAGGATTATTCATGTGAAAAATTTAGTTCAGTTAAAGAAAATTTTCTTCAACATCTTCGTGAACTTGGTCTTACTTGGCAAAAAACGGTAAAATAAATATGTTTCTCAAAAAATATAACAGATAAACATATACAAAACCATTCTCGATCGCCCGGACTACAATCGAGACTATTCAAAAAGAAGTTACCAGTACTAATATAGATTGAATTACCATTATATACAATACATTCGTTACTATGCTAATAAATTTTTCATTTTGAATGTAATCGATGGAAGTTGATAAAAAAAAGTATCAAGAAGTTTTTTTTTGTCATACAAAATCCGTGAGATATATATGTATCTATGTATATATTTTTGGGAATTTTAGAGAAAAATTAAACGTTACTTTCCAACAAAACTTGCGATTGAATTAGCATCAGGTTTATCAACAAATGGATTTGTAGATCAACAATATGGAAATGATGAAATTCAATCCGGGTTTCTTGTTGTTGAAACAAATTATCGTGTTTATGCGTATACAAGTTTGTTTATATAGTTTTATTTGATTTATAATTTTTTTTTTGTTTTTTTGTTTTTTTTTATAGATAATGATTTATATTTAAAAATTATTGCACTATTTTGTAAAATGCTCTATAGGTATATTAGATTTACTGAATATGTGAAGAGAAAAAGATTTTTGAATATTTAGATTTCCAAATATGAGTGTTGGACTTATTACTCGACAAAGTATTCGTAGAGCATTAAGCAAAGAAATCTCTGCTGATTTGGTTCGAATAGATATTTAAGTTGTTTTTGTCAAATGATTTTCTTTTTTATGTATTATATAGATTCTAAACTTTCTAAAATCTAATGCACATCCACAAATGCGTAAACGAGTATGAATGAATTTTTCTTTTTCGTTAATTATCTTTTTTTATCTCATATTCATAGTTATTGGAAAATAAACCATTAATACCAACAACAATAAGTGATCAAATTCGTTTATGGTAAGTTGATACCAATGGATATTTATGATAAGAATAATTCGAACAGAGATATTTCGGAAAAAAATGGAAAATACAAAAATGAATAGCTTTTACATTTCGAAACTTCTCTCATTAATCGTCATAAAATGTATTTGGGTATGGTCGTCAATGTTTTTCATTTTTTACTTTGGCATATATTGCATACAAGTTATAATTATCTCAAAAGACTACACCACTTCTAATAGGAACAAAGAGGACTGTTCGGCACTTTGTCGTCTTAGTGAGCACTACGTTTTATTGAAAATGTATCGCGCTAAGCACTACGGAGTGCAACAACTTTTTATAGAATTTCGAGTTTTTATGGAAGTTAATGAGAAGAATTTTCCACCAAGTCGAAATTCAATGTAAATATCGCTATCTTTTACAATTAAAATCAAGGCTACCATGGGCGTCCGTGTGGTACGCACTTTTTAAGCATATCCAAAAATTACCCTCATCTATCTTGATATTTAATTATAAAACATCTTGTTTAAGTAAAAATCCAAGTAACCAAAGGTGTCCGTATCCATCAAAAAGCTATATTCTAGTTGAAAACCAAAAGTGCAGTTAAGAAAGCGTGTCCGTATGATATTCGTTTTGTATCAATCCTTGAGGGCAGGAGATGCATATATACATCCAGTTTTGAATCAACTTCTAATTAATTTGTGCATTAGAGAGTTGCGGGTCCACATTTTTGTGGAGTCAGTCCCGAAAAAAATTAAAAATTTGAGCCCAGATCCGAAGAAGATATAAAACATTGGGCCTAGGCCCGGACCTGACCGAGTCTGGATCTGGAAGGATCCGCAGCTCCCTATTGTCAGCGTTTCGAAAATTTCCTTTGTTTTGTTAAAAGTATCCTTGTTCTCAAGGGATTAAATGAAATTCATCAAATGTAAGATTATTTTTATTTTAAAATGTTTGTTTTCTTTTTAATAGGGAAATGGAACGAGATCGTGTTGTTGATCAAGAAGGCATGCTCTATAATCAATTTAATAGTGCAAATGATTTTGAATTAATTGAAAAATATGCTAAAGTAATTTGAATATTTTCTTTATTTTTTATTTTTTATTTTTTATTTTCTTAGGATTTAAATGTATTACTTTGGAGTAATACACAAAAACGATGTATTATTGTATCAAAAGCAGGTCATGAAGAAGTAAAACGTTTCTGGAAAATGCAACGACCAAAATCTAGCAATGAAAATTAATTTAATAGGTTATTTATATGGAAAGAAAAAAAGAAAAACAACAAGAAAATTTTTGTGAGAAGAATTTTCTCACTATCTAGACAAATTTTTATACAATTAAATATAGTTTTTCTCATTGATTGTCGGCAAGTTTTTTCTTGTATGTATGTATATATATATATTTAAGCCCGGTAATTCCTTTTTTTTCTAAAACAAGAAGAAACGAGATGAAAATAAAAAAAAATTGTCATCCATTTGAAATGATTGTGAAAATATAAATGAGATCATTCAATAAAGAATGACGAAAGAAAGCTTCTTGTATTTATATTGAAGATTATATCTGTATTATAATAAGAACTACTAGGGGTTTTCTATTAAATAGAAGCTCGTTTGTTCGTCAACTAGAAATGCTTGGTAAGAAATATGAATGTTCAAGGTTAATCTAAAAAATATGGTATTTTCATTAGTGTGATATTTCTTAATAAATGAAATCTATAGTGTACCGGTTATCTTAATTCAAATAAATATTGTTTTTAATAGCCATCGAGATTCAATAAATATATAATGGAGAATACACTTTTGATATTACTATACTTCGTTTTATATCTGATATATAACTATTGTCATTAAAGATTTTTTTCGTTGATGTAATAGAAGGTGTTACTAACGAGGAAATCACTCCCACGCGATACCTGACGTTTGAGATGAGACTCAGTTTATCAGATGGGGACTTATAAAAAAAATCGAGCAAACGAAATTTGATCTGAAATTTTGTCCATAATCAGCTCTTGAGATATCAAATTCCTCAAAAACTATAGTATCCTATCAAAAAGGACAGACAGTCTAGTTGTTTTGAGGAATTAACATCTCAAGAAGGAATCGCTCTCCTTGGTTGAAATTTTTACAGTATTCTAATACTCTCAAGAGCTGTTTATGGACAATGTTTCAGGTCAGAATTCATTGGTTCGATTTTTTTATAAGTATTGTACCAAGGATCCAAATATCAGAGGAATGGTCATAACTCCAGTAGGACAGCTCTTGGAGAGGAATTTGTCTACACTTTTTCTAGTCTTAAGAGACTACTTAATGAAGTGTGTCTGATCTCAAACGCGACATATCATAACGGATGATTTTTTTGTAAGTATATCAACACAAAGAAAAAGTTATTTTTACAGGACTCGTGATGTCAAAACTATTGTTCAAGACGGATTCCTTAAAATTTTCAAATGACCTACTTTATAGTGTCTAACGAGGGAACATTCCCAAGTATTAATCACAGATCAAAAAGAGAGTTACTCCCAGTCGACAGAGCCCGACGAGCTGGTTACGGTGGTCATAAACATTTTCCCGCATACTACCTTCTTATATAGTTTTCAGATCGAATTAATTCTATGGAACATTACTTGTGGGAACAGACTGTATGTTTATTGTGAAAAAGTTCAGGATATACGAATCTTTTCATTGAGGGAAATGATAGCTGTTGAAAAAATGTTCGAAACAAAGAATATGTTGACAATGACTACAGAACATAAATGCATAACTATTAGAGTTATATATCGAACATTGATCTACCTTGAAGGTAAAGCAAATATCGATGATATTCGAAAACGATTGATATTTTGGCTGAATATGGCCACAAGCTGACTAGGAGTATGAAATCATAGACACGAAAACATCGGTGCAAAGTTGATTGTGTACCAGTGAGTGCAGCTTGATAATAGCATATCGAGCTCTCAAGTCAATATTTAGATCATTTATTGATATATGATGCTAAATTCATCGTGCCAAGTTTTTCCATTGACGAAAGAAATACTGATCACAAGGTTGTTTTGTCGCTGTTACTTTTCCAGAAATCACCATCAATTTGCAAGATTGTCATTTCGTCAGATTTGCTTCATATGTTGAAGTATCTGTTTACACTGACCATTGATCAACTAGGAGTAGAAACTGATTGTTTGTAACATCGACAAGAACTTCTCGTATCCAATACTCAATCAATGACTTGCTTAGTTTGCCCGATTTACTGCAGGTTGTGACAATATTCGAAACAGAGAAGACGTCTTTTATTACAGGAAATTGACCTCTAGGCTCTTGTAGATATATGAAGACGGGACCAACAAGTTTGGCGGCAGCGCTGATGAAGGGCATTATAATATGAATGTGTGCTTGCATTGAGAGATTTGACAGCGATGAATGTCGATCTTTCATTTGAAAAAAATAATGTACGATTTGATGTAAGTTTATAGTGGAAAGCTAATTGATCAGCATCTAGAACAGATTCAAGCTTGTACTTGAGTAAGATCTGTTGAACTTCATTTGCGAACTCTTCACTAACTTCAGCAATTTCTTCCCTGTCAAAAACTTCACTTTGTGACACGAATCTTGTGATTTTTCTTGAACGAATATGATTTCGTCATTTAAAATTCAGCAGCCACTTACTATTAGCAACGAAATTGGGGACGTTCTCGGTCTTTGCTTGAACTAATGGCCATCATTGAATGTCTGCCTCATGAACGGACAAGCTTTTGCTTCGTGTTTGTTTAAACTTTTCAACGAGAAATAGTTCGATGCGTGAGAGTTTCTGACGACGATTGTCATCATTCTCAACATATGTTCGAAACCTTGCTAGTTGCATCGCATACTTGACACGTGCATATGCGTGTTGCACTGTTGCGAAATTAATACCTGGATGAGCGAAGTCTATGACTTTTTTCATATAGTTCAACGTATATGAAGTATGCTCGACAATCAAGTTCTCATCATGTTCTCCAGACATAATGTTGATATCGATATCGTCGACGAGTTCCAGAATACTATCGTTTACAATTTCATAGTTGTCACTTGTGACAAGGTCGTCCAACAGGTTTAGCAATTATTCAGCGATCGAGGTTTGTTCCTTCGGTAAAGTTAGTTATTTGAACTTTTTTTTTTTGGTAATATTTCATCAAGTACATGTTGAGGAATATTTAACATGTTAAATTTCTACTTAGCTAGTTTTATTTTCAACTAAATATTATCAAACAATAGACCAAGAGATAATGATAGTAGTGAATTTTACCTCTCTTCTTCTCTCTCTCTCTCTCTCTTCACGTATATTTGTAGACAGAAAAGCAAACGTTCTGTACTCATACAGTTGACGAAGAGAAAGATCCGCACGTAACAGTCATAATTATTGCTATATGTGACAGATAACACCAAGCACTTGACGTAGAATAAAATAAATAGCCTGGTATATTCATCCACAAAGAGATATATACAATATGTGCACGGTAGTCAGTGCGTTTGATACCTATATGTAATATCTCAAAAAATTAATTTGATCTGAAAACTATATAAGAAGACATTATGGGGGTAAAACGTTTATGGCTACCGTAATCAGCTCGTCGAGCTTTATCGACTGGGGGGTAACTCTCGTTTGGATCTGCGATTAATACTGAGGAATGCTCCCTCGTTAGTCCTATGCTTAGAAGATATTAAAAACACTATGCTCTACTGTCTGTACGACGACTAGAGTCCGTCTGGTCCAAAATTTTCGCATCCAAATACGATCAAACCGTACTTAGATACTCTCAAGGAAATTTTCTAATCCGAATTGGATAGTCGCCGAGAATATATGAGATACTTTTTTCCAGTTTCTTTTATTCAGTGACCAGTACGTCCTACACATTTCTCAGGCGACTAGAGCCCGTCGAGCTCCAGCGACGACATGTCGAATTTCGCTAGTGAACTTTAACATAGATCCGAATTTGCACTAACGGTTTTTTCATATCTTCTTGCTCTATTAAATAATATTCGACATATGTTTCTCATTATCATGATACATCCCTAAGTCGCCAGTAGTATAGCAACGACATCTATATTATTTTTCATAATGAAAGGCAATCATGTAATGTATATTTCACTTTTCTAGAACTTGAAATCAAAATTAGAATATGATTTTCTTAATTTGTCAACCAAATGTTTTTCATACGATTTCCATGACGTTCACTAATGAATCACGAAAAAAAAAGATTTGACAATGACATGATTCATTTGTTCGAAGTGGAAAGAATGGCGTGATCTTTTTGCAATATAATCATTAACAAAAAATAAAATTTTTTTCATCGTCTTTATCTATTGATGTTGACTAAATAGTTTCAAATAAAATAAAAACAAAATGATCAATGGAAATTTATTTCAATTTGATGAATATCAACAACAAGGACATCAACAAATGCAACAACAATCAATAAATATCGATACAACTACTGTTAGCGGTAAGATAATTATTTATTTATATTTCATTTTTTCTGAATAAAACAATTAATCATTAATTTTATTTTAGATATTAAAGATTATTTAACATGTGATTTAAAATTATCTGATACAGCTTTTAATGATTTATTTTCTGAATTTGATTTAAATCCAAATGATTTTCAATATTGTGATACATCAACAAATGCAAATACTTATCCTCAACAATCAACTCAAAATCTACCTGAATTACCACCATCATACGATGCAGCATTACTTTCAACATCATTAACTAATATAACACAAACTCCGAATGTTCAACCAGTCATTGATGATTATCTTTCTTCAGTTGCATTAAAATCTTTAATTGAACAACATCAAGCACAACAACAAACAACGATTAAATATTCAATTTCTCCTTCACCATCTATTCCAACACCTCAAACAAATTATTCTGACGTAATTTAAAAAAAAAAGAACAAACAAAATATTTTTCTAGAATGTCCTTGACTTCTTTATTTTCTTTTATTTAAGTCTTCATCAATCTTATCAATAGATGTATCAGAACATCAATCAAATAGAAATTCTCCTGGAAGAAAACAAACAACATCGAAACGTTCTCGACCACCACCACCTACTCATCTTCCTAAATTAATTAAAAAACCAGAACCAATACCAGTTACATTAGATCAATTTCAAGCTGTATGAAAAAGAAAATTCTCCATTAAATCTTTATTCTTTCTTTTATCTAGTTAATTTGTTCCGCATCTGATACATCAAATTCAAAT